ATTATATGTAAATATTGTTAATATTATGAATTTGTTAAGACCAAAAATTCCAGTATTAGGAGAAGTGTGTGTGTGTGTGTGTGTGTGTGTGTGTGTGTGTGTGTGTGTGAGGAGTGCCACGTGTACGGTACCCGTGGGAAGAAGGTGGCAGCACACACACACACCTCTCCATAACTCTATCTTCACCCCACTATCACACTCCTGCTGGGGACTGCATCACCACCAGGTAACCTAACCTAACCCACCTCTTTTGCCCTGCTCATAACGCTTCTACATGATGAGCAGAGAGAGAGAGAAAAATAGGAAGGAGGGAAGGAAGGAAGGAGGGTAAGACAAGAGTGAGGGAGGTCCTGAGGTCGTAAGGAAGTAGAAAGGGGAAACTGAGGGAAGGAAGAGAGGGGTGAAGGGGAATTTCCATCCTATACAAGGTGTGGTTCAGGTGTGCAGCAGGTGTGGAGGGGAGCGTGACCTGACCCTTAAACCTTCACACGAGGGGAAAAGTGCCAGGTGTTGCTGAGTCATGGGAAAGTGTGGCACATGTAGGAGAGGGGAGGGGGGATGGGGGGGGGGGGGGGAGAGGGAGGGAGGGTAAGAAAATGAGGAAGGATAATGATCTTCACTTAACCCAGGACTCAAGAACTTAAATCCCTAAAGAACGAGGTGAGGGGAGGGAGGGGGGGGAGGGGAGGAGGATGAGAGGGGAGAGGTGATGGTGGGAACGGAGCAGTTAAAGACCATCTTGGGTGTCTGGGGAGGTATTCTTGTCACGCCCTTGATGACTTTGGAAGCTGTTATTCCCGAACGAGTGTCTCCCAGGTGTCTTGTTGATACATACGAGGCGAGCGTTATTAATACAGTGTAATGTAATAACCACTGGTATTAACTTACTGAGAATTAATATAGTTTGTCTTTCTAGGTTAGGTTATGGCGGTGGCAACAAGTAAAACCAAACCAGCTGTGTGACGGAGCGGCTTCCTATGTTTACAGTAGCGAGTCGAGTCATTTCCTGACACTACTACAGTTGTTTATGGTAATCCTCCACCCCGCCATCTAGTGATTATTAATACATGACATCACCTACCAGGCCATCACAATAACGTAAGTAAGGGGGAGTGGTCTAGTGTACACCACCTACTGAGGCTGATGGGGGGGGGGGGCTACGTGGTACGGGGGGCTACGTGGTATTGCAGGGGGCTACGTGGTATTACGGGGGCTATTACGGGGGCTACGTGGTATTGGGGGCTACGTGGTATTATGGGGGGGTTATATGTTACTCTGCTGCATACCCCCCCCCCGTCTACGTCTTCATTCATCACCACACTGACACTCGGTCCTGTTGTCAGTGTGATGTAGAGTACACAGCCTGGGAAACACTGGACCTTGGCTCCGGATATTCCTGACAAACTTAGAATTGTTGTGGTAAAGGTGAAGTTATTACTGGCTGTGAGGAGCAACAAGGTGTGAGAGAGAGAGAGGCGTCCTCCCAGGGAAGAGGCGGGGCGGTCCACACCGTGTTTATGTTCCGGGCTGGGGAGGGCATGAATGGTGGCCGAGTGTGGGAGCCACCAGCAAGGACGTTCGCAAAGTGGGAACTGCACGTCGTCTGGCTCCCAAGTGTTCCCAGCCCCCCACGACCCGAGTCCTGGGAGGAATATGATGACTCCCTCCCCCCGCCCTCTTGATGGACACGCTCGTCACTATTAAGATCTTTTATTGCCTGGGTCATGTACCTGTGTGCCCTGCTTATACTCTGGGAACAAACTCTTAAGAAATGTTGTCATCACCAGACTGTGATTTGTGGTAACGATAATACAAGAGTAATGGAGGGAAGAAGAAAGCGGACAACTGATCAAGTCTCGTGGCTCACAGGTGCGGCGACAGGCGACAAGGGGCCCTGACTGTCTTCCAACACATTAATGTGACCTTCAAGAACGGCGGCGCTGTGTACGTTTCTGCGACGCCCACGCTTCTTGTGATGGTGTTGGCCACAATAAAGTGTAGCTATCACAACACCGTCATCTACCCACCGCCAGGCTCCTCCTACCACACGAGAACAGTAATGTAGCGAAACGTTAACAACTATTACATACACATACAGGCAGACTACAGTCAAACCACCAATCTTTGCAATACCGCATATCATAAAGACCTGAATATATTATGGGGAAGTTTACATAATTTATAAGTTCTGAATTATAATGGCTGATGGTGGCAGGAGCCTCCTTAGTATGACACCAACTACCTAATTAACACTCACTGTGTCCACACGCCCCTCACCACCCTGAAAAGTTGTCCTTCGTCAGGGACACAACACAGGTGGCCAGGAAGGAGCCAGTAGACACTCTGCCCAACGATCCTTTGTGAGGTGACTGGAGTGAGTGTCCCTGTAAGGCCACCACCCCCGGCGACCCTGAGGCAACCTCCACAGTAGCCACAACCCCTCCCCCTCCCCTCCCTCCACGCCTCCCCAATAACTATCCAGCCACATAAACCACATCTTTCTGGCCCCGTGACATCACCATCATTCCTCCTCCTCCTCCCCTTCTTCTCCTCCTGCCCCTTCTTCTTCTTCTCCTCCTCCCCTTCTTCTTCTCCTCCTCCTCTTCCTCCTCACAAGTTCATGACCGTCCTACATAATTAACTCCATTTTATAGCTCCACAATTTACCACACTCCGGCCCATATATCTCCCCCCCCCCTCCCTGGGCCTTGCGGTGAACTGGCCCACCACCTTCGGTATCTATCCAGCGGCTTGTGCCTCCTCCTGTAGCAGGCCAGGGAGGTGGTGGAGGCCTCACCTGGCAGCAGGGTCTTTGGTGGAGGTCCTACTACAGTGTTTATCTCTTCACACACACACACACACACACACACACACACACACACACACACACACACACACACACACACACACACTATCGCGGACTCCCGTTCTTAGGGTTCCTACGTGGGAACCAGAAGCAGAATATGAGAAAGTTTTGACGAGAATTTATAAACAGTTCATTCAAGCTTCCGACAGTGGAGCAAGAGTAGGTGAGAGTGTCCGAGAGTGTGGGTTGTGATGACAGAGTGTGGGTTGTGGTGACTGGGTGAGAGTGTGGGTTGTGATGACTGGGTGAGAGTGTGGGTTGTGGGGGATGACTGGGTTGGGGTGGGTTGTGATGACTGGGTGAGAGTGTGGGTTGTATGACTGGGTTGTGATGACTGGGTGAGAGTGTGGGTTGTGGTGACTGGGTGAGAGTGGGTTGTGATGACTGGGTGAGAGTGTGGGTGATGACTGGGGGTTGTGATGACTGGGTGAGTGTGGGTTGTGATGACTGGGTGAGAGTGTGGGTTGTGGTGACTGGGGGTTGTGATGACTGGGTGAGAGTGTGGGTTGTGGTGACTGGGTGAGAGTGTGGGTTGTGATGACTGGGTGAGTGTGGGTTGTGATGACCTGATGACTGGGTGAGAGTGTGGGTTGTGATGACTGGGGGTTGTGATGACTGGGTGAGTGTGGGTTGTGATGACTGGGGGTTGTGATGACTGGGAGAGTGTGGGTTGTGGTGACTGGGGTTGTGATGACTGTGAGTGTGGGTTGTGATGACTGGGGGTTGTGATGACTGGGTGAGAGTGTGGGTTGTGATGACTGGGGTTGTGATGACTGGGTGAGGTGTGGGTTGTGGTGACTGGGTGAGAGTGTGGGTGTATAACTGGGTGAGAGTGTGGGTTGTGATGACTGGGTGAGAGTGTGTGGTTGTGATGACTGGGGTTGTGATGACTGGGTGAGAGATGACTGGGGGTTGTGATGACTGGGTGAGGTTGTGATGACTGGGTGAGAGTGTGGGTTGTGATGACTGGGTGAGAGTGTGGATGTGTGATGACTGGGGACTGATGGGTGAGAGTGTGGGTTGTGGTGACTGGGTGAGTGTGTGGGTTGTAATAACTGGGTGAGAGTGTGGGTTGTGATGACTGGGTGAGAGTGTGGGTTGTAATGATTGGGTGAGTGTGGGTTGTGATGACTGGGGGTTGTGATGACTGGGTGAGAGTGTGGGTTGTGATGACTGGGTGAGAGTGTGGATTGTGATGACTGGGGGTTGTGATGACTGGGTGAGAGTGTGGGTTGTGGTGACTGGGTGAGAGTGTGGGTTGTAATAACTGGGTGAGAGTGTGGGTTGCTTGATGACTGGGTGAGAGTGTGGGTTGTAATGATTGGGTGAGTGTGGGGTGAATGACTGGGTGAGAGTGTTGTGATGACTGGGGGGTTGTGATGACTGGGTGAGAGTGTGGGTTGTGGTGACTGGGTGAGAGTGTGGGTTGTAATAACTGGGTGAGAGTGGGTGGAGTGGGGTTGTGATGAGTGACTGGGGTTGTGATGACTGGGTGAGGTGTGGGTTGTGGTGACTGGGTGAGAGTGTGTTGGTGATGCCTGGGGGAGTGATGACTGGGGGTGACTGTGGTGATGACTGGTGAGAGTGTGATGACTGGGAGGAGTTGTGACGACTGGATGAGAGTGTGGGTTGTGAGGTAGACTAAGGTTAGGATATAAGTACCTCTGGCAGTATGTCCCTCAGGCAGATGTGAACAAAACTAAATGTAAAGTGTGTGGCCAGACATATGGCCACACACTCCAACACTAAGTCTTAAAACTTTGAGAAAATAGAACCTTTTAGAGACAGATCTAAGCACACTGTGTATGTAATGGCTGCAAGATAACTAATACGCTACAGCTGTACCCACGCTTGGCATCTACAGTAGTATAGCTAAGTCAACTCCTATGTACAGAAATTAAACAATGTACTGGAAATACTCTGTAACAATCAATAATATCCTTTATCACCTCTACTGTATGATCCTTTTTTCACGCTGCTGCTCACAGGATGAATAAGGGTGCACAAAAAAACTAGCTGTCTGCGGCCAAAGGAAAAAAATTAATAAAACAAAAAATAATAATAATAACTTCACTAATGAGACGGACACCAACACAAGGCACTCAGTTGCAGAGGAAGAAAATTGAATAATTACCCCGGCAGTAAAACCCAGCTTGGTGACGGCTGTAGTAGTGGTGGAAGAAGACGCAGAAGAAGAAGAACAAGAGGTGGTGAAGACGGATGTGTCTGGTCGAAGTGGCGGTGGGGTGTAGGTGGTGGACAGCGTCGGGAGGGTGTAGGTGGTGGTCAGCGTCGGGAGGGTGTTGACGGTATCTTGATCCACCACCCAGTCGCCTGCACTCACCCACTGACAGGGAGTGAGACAGGCGTTATGAGCAATAGAATAATACTGACAGAATCACAAGATATGAGGAAAGGAACAGCGGACAGGGACCAATTGACAGCATCACAGCACAAATAAGACAGAGAGGGGCAGCGGACAGGGACTAACTGACAGCATCACAGCACAAATAAGACAGAGGAACAGAGAACAGGAACCTTAACTGACAGCATCACAGCACAAATAAGACAGAGATGGACAGAAGCGGTCTCAAAGGATGGCGAACAACAGGACAAAAATCACAAAAAGTTGCATTGACAGTGAACGGTGATACAGAGGCCGCGGAGTGTGTGTGTAGTGAAGTACACACACACACACACTACACACACACACACGAGGAGCGATGTATGTATATAGTCGTGAATAATGATCAGTGTGTGTGTGAAGCAAGAGAGAGAGAGAGAGAGAGAGAGAGAGAGAGAGAGAGAGAGAGAGAGGAGCGCGGAACTAACAGGCCATACAAGACTCGCCTCTATAAACCCCCCTTTGGATTTCTCGACTCATCGGCCATCCAGACGTGCTAACTGCCTCGTCTCCATCATCGACACCACAGGTAAGAAAATTCTCCCTCCGCCACCAGTAACCACAAGTGTCAACCATGAATCTATTATTGGTTGTATCAAAGGTGTACGTTCTTTTAGCAGGAGACGAGCCATTCCCAACAAGCAAAAATTGTATATAGAATCTCGAGGGACTGTGGGGGTAGGAGATATTCTGAAGAAGCCAACGCTACTAACCTAACCCTAACTAACCTAACCTAACCTAACCTAATATAACCTAACCTAACCTAATATAACCTAACCTATACCTAACGTCGCTAACCTAACCTAACCTGACCTAAAGGGGAAGCTGATTTTGTTACTGCTTGCATTTTGACACACTGTAAGAGGACTCGACGAGAGAGAGAGAGAGAGAGACCAAATTCGAGAGAGACAAAAACATGTTAACGTTCTCATCGACGACAGGAAGGTAGTAGGTGTTTTCCTGCACCATCTGCCACGCCAGGAAAAAAAAAACCAGCGGAGCCTCTAAGACGTGTTGGACGGGCGGACAATAGAGACCTTGAAATTGATTACCACGGCGCTGAGAGAGAACACTTGACCACATCTAAACAACGTCTTATATACAGCAACCATAAACACCTCCACCACTAACACCATCACCACCACTAACACCATCACTAACACCATCACCATCACTAATACTAACACCACCACTAACACCATCACCACCACTAACACCATCACCATCACTAACACCATCACCATCACTAACACCATCACCACCACTAACACCATCACCACCACTAACACTAGTAACACTCATACAACCAGACAAGCAATTCTTCTATTCACGACTACCACAACGACTGCCAGCACAAGCAATCATCCGGCTTAGGGTTTTTTTTTCCCTATTTCATCCTCGTCTTTTACCTACAGCGACACTCTTGTAGGTTAGGTTAGGTTAGGTTAGGTTAGGTTATGCCACGGTCCACCAACACCACCAGCTCACCATCCTGGCACCTGACCACCCACACCTCACACCATCTTCACGCTCCTCACCATCACGCTCATCACTATCACCTCACACCATCTTCACGTTCCTCACCATCACCTCCACACCATCTTCACGCTCATCACCTCACACCATCTTCACGCTCCTCCCATCACCTCACACCATCTTCACGCTCCTCACCATCACCTCACACCATCTTCACGCTCCTCACCATCACCTCACACCATCTTCATGCTCCTCACCTCACACCATCTTCACGCTCCTCACCTCACACCATCTTCACGCTCATCACCTCACACCATCTTCACGCTCCTCACCATCACCTCACACCATCTTCACGCTCCTCACCTCACACCATCTTCACGCTCATCACCTCACACCATCTTCACGCTCATCACCTCACACCATCTTCACTACCCCTGGGGAACTTACTGCAGGAGGAGCAAATCGTGAGGGAAAGATCACCTTAAGCTTGGTTGTAATTTACTGTTAGAATTCCCCCACCCTCACCTTCACCCCCTCACCCACACGCCCCTGCCCTCACCCTTCCCCCCTCCTCACCTCGTCTTCACCCCTCACCCACACGCCCCTGCCCTCACCCTGACCCTTCCCCTCCCTCACCCTTCCCCCCTCATCATCTTCACCCCTCCCCTCACCCCACCCCTCCCTCACCCACACGCCCTGCCCTCACCCCTCACCCCCCCCCCTCCTCACCTCGTCTTCACCCCCCTCACCCACACGCCCCTGCCCTCACCTTCCCCCCCTCCTCAACTCGTCTTCACCCCCTCACCCTCACCCCTCACCCACACGCCCCTGCCCTCCTCACCCTTCCCCTCCCTCCTTCACTCCCTCCTCCCTTCACCCCCTCCCTCCCTTCGTCACCTTCCCTTCCTTACATTTACAGAAGGTTTCGTTGTTTTATCTGCCTCTTACAATCTATCATCACAACAACAGTTAAAGGGGGTACAAATAACATCTTAACCCTTTGAGAACAATAGTTTAACCCTTTGGGAATTATGGTTTAACCCCTTGAGGATGATGATGTAAGCTTTAACTGGTCATTAGAGAGAGAGAGAGAGAGAGAGAGAGAGAGAGAGAGAGAGAGAGAGGTGCTAGCGGGGAGGTAATTTCAACGCTGCCCGGATAGTCACGCCTCGCTTGGACAATACTCCAACCTCAAATATACTCAGGATGGCCGACCCGTGACAGATGGGACACACACACACACACACACACACACAAATGTTCTCGATGGTCATTTAAATTGTTTCTGCTCCTCAGTGTATACATAAAGATAGTTGCTTAAGTTTTACCTGACCATCACTCTAGCGGTGGCTCTGTACTTCACCCTCACAGTACTGATCAAAACGGGCCGAGAGAGAGAGAGAGAGAGAGGTGGGTGGCGGAAAGGAGAAAAAAATCTAACGTCTTTTCTTTAACTATTTTCTCAGTTTATATAAATTCTAAAACACTTAATCATAATATAACACCGTGAAATATTATATGATCTGTTTATAGTTGTGTTGAATTACCGTAAAATAAGTCATATAGAGCGTATATAACGATAAGTAACGTGGTGAACCGATGACTTTAACTCTCTCATAGTCGACTAAATCCAGGTTAGGTTAAGGTTAGGTTAAGGGGACATCTTTAGGAGTGTGTGTGTGTGTGTGTGTGTGTGTGATGGTGAGGCAGGAGTCAACATAAGAATCTGGTTGTGTACTAATTAAACCACCAGCAGATGACAACTTTGGTTTCTGTATCAGTCAAGTCAGTCAGTCAGTCAGTCAGTCACCATGAGGATGCAGCCGTTAACCTTACCTACCTCCCTTCCCCCCTCCCACCAACAACCTTCACGTGCTTGAATAAAACGTACACGGACCATCAAGGACAGCGATGTAAGGCGGGCGGGTGCAGCAGCTGTCGGGGGCGCTGCAGGAGAATAGCCAGCCTAGGCCTAAATGGTTTAAAAGTCCCTGGTAGCGTCCCCCCCCCCACACACCTGGTATCACCTGGCCCTGTTCACGAGACATTACCCTCGTACACATCTGGGATTTAAACCTTAACCCCCACCTTACCCCACCCCCCCACCTCACCCCACCCACCTTCCTTCACCCCAACAAGTCGTTACATATCCACTCATTGTTTTCTTGTTAGACGTATCCACACTCTCATCCTACACGCTCTTTAGGGAAAACAAAAACTAAACAAAAAAAATAACAAGAAAACAACAAAAGGTAATATTTCTTGATGAGTTTGGAGAATTAAATGAGTTAATGATATATTGGCTAAATATAAAAAAAAATATTACAAGTTTAAAATATAATCATTGTGGAAATTTCTATACGAGTGAGAATGAAACTCGAGGTAACGCGGGGGGGGCCATCATGTAATTTAGTCATTTACTGTGGTGTGGGAGACAGTCAGGCACGTCAAGATACAAGTGAAGGTGCTGGAATAAACGATAAAAGAACACACAACAAAAAAGAGTTAATTGAACAAGGGAAGATACATGGAACAATGCTGCAGCGTATGGCCTTGCATGCCGACACACACACACACACACTCTCCTCCCTCTGTTGCATCACCACCACCACCTTCAACCCAGACTATGGTGGTGGTGTTGTTGCTGCTCAGTTAACACACCTCTCACACACCACTGTCAACATATAAGACTCAATTATACAAGAAACAACTCACAATGTACTAGTGCCTTTGAGTAATCGTTACCCAGGGATCATTTTAATGTGTGTATGTGTGAGGAGGTGGTGAGTGAGGCTGTAGCGTGGCCCGAGGGATCGCGTGGCAGAGGTGCAGGCAACGCCGGGTCGACCTCCTGCCACGCGTCACAAGCAACTGCCTCTCCTTCCCGACCTCAGTACTCTGGCTACCTCACACCCACGACTATACACAAGCGATCTATGTTAATTATGATGTAATACTGTACATCTGTGGAGAGGGAGGTGTTGAGAGGCGTGAGTGGGTGGTGGGTGGGCAGCAGACACAGGCTGGCTGGGTCGGGCACGTGGCACGAGCCGTCAGTGTTGGCCAGGGCGGCGGCGCACGCTGGTGTAGAGTTACTCCCAGACGGTCACGGACAAAAGACACCAAGATTTAAATCCCAGGACCGCCTTTGAGGGAGTAACGGTCGCGGGCCCAGGACAATGACGCCACTCCGAGACACCTTGGCTTGCCTACCCCCACATTCCCTCACCCCCACCACCGCCCCCCCTCCTTAGCAAATTATTTCTCTACCTACTGGGAAAAAAATCAGTCATTGATATAAAAAAAATCGCTGTTATTTCTGACGGAGGCAAGAGTCACGCGCACCAGCACATTCTCTCAATTGATCGTACGTGATTTGTTTCCCCCTTAAGAGTAGTGTGATGAGAGTGTCTCCTAACTGTCTCTCTTTAACAGTAAGATATGGCGGTTTGGAACGAGTCAACATT